TGTGGAGTGGTAGGTGGTGGTGGTTGGGAGAGGTGGTGGTGGTGTGTGGGTGGTTGGGGTGTGTAGGTGGTTGGGGGTGTGGGTGGTGGTGGAGTGTGGGTGGTGGTGGTGTGGGTGGTTGGGGTGTGTGGTAGTGTAGGTGGTTGGGTGTGTAGGTGGTGGTGGAGTGTAGGTGGTGGGGTGTGTAGGTGGTGGGTGTGTAGGTGGTTGGGGTGTGTGGGTGGTGGGTGAGGTGGTGGGTGGTGTGTGGTGGTAGGGGGTGTAGGGTGAGGTGGTTGGGGTGTGTGGGTGGTGGTGGTGGTAGGTGGTGTGGGTGAGGTGGTGTGTGGGTGGTGGGTGTGTGGGTGGTGGTGGTGTGTGGGTGGGGGTGTGTGGGTGGGTGTAGGTGGTGGTGTGTGGTGGTGAGTGTGGGTGGTGGAGGTGTAGGTGGTGGTGTGTGGGTGGTGGTGGTGTGTGGGTGTAGGTGGTGGTGCTGGTGGGTGTGGGTGGTGGTGGTGTGTGGTGGTGGTGGGGTGCAGGTGGTGGTGAGGTGGTGGTGGTGGTGGTGGTGTGGGTGGTGGTGGTGTGTGGGTGGTGGGGGTGTGTAGGTGGTGGTGGTGTGGGTGGTGGGTGTGTGGGTGGTGGGGGTGTGTGGGTGGGGTGTGGGTGGTGTGGTGTGTGGGTGGTGTGGGTGGGGTGGTGTGTGGTGGTGTAGGTGGTGGTGATGTAGGTGGTGTTGGTGTGTGGGTGGTGGGGGTGTGTGGGTGGTGGTGTGCAGGTGTGTGGTGCAGGTGGGTGTGTGGGTGGTGGTGTGTAGGTGGTGTGTGGTGGTGGTGTGTGGGTGGTGGGTGTGTGGGTGGGTTGGTGTGTGGTGGTGAGTGTGGGTGGCGGTGGTGTGTGGTGGTGTGTGGGTGGTGGTGGTGTGGGTGGCGGTGGTGGGTGGTGGGGTGTGTAGGTGGCGGTGAGTGTGGAGGTGGTGGTGGTGTGTGGGTGGTGATGCGTAGGTGGTGGTGGGAGTGTAGGTGGTGGGGTGTGTGGTGATGGGATGCGTGGGTGGTGGTGGTGTGAGGTGATGTGAGTGAGGTGGGGGTGTGGGTGGTGGGGATGCAGGTGGTGGGTGGTGGTGGTGTGTGGGTGATGGGGGTGTGTAGGTGGTGTTGGTGTGTAGGTGGTGGTGTGTGGGTGGTTGGGTGTGTGGGTGGTGTTGGTGTGTGTAGGTGGTGGTGGTGTGTAGGTGGTGGGGGGTGCGTGTGGTGGTGGAGTGTGTGTGTGGAGGTGTGTAGGTGGTTGGGGTGTGTCGGTGGTGGGAGGTGTGTAGGTGGGGGTGTGTGGGTGGTGGGGGTGTGTAGGTGGTGGTAGTAATGGGGGTACAGTAGCTGGTGATAGTAGTAGGTGTGACAGTAGATGGTAGTGGTGGTGTAGGTGGTAGTACTGTCTGGTGGGTGTAAGTGGTAGTACTGTCTGGTGTGTGTGGTAGTGGTGTCTGGTGGTGTAAGTGGTAGTACTGTCTGGCGGTGTAGGTGGTAGTACTAATTGGTGGTGTAAGTGGTGTACTGTCTTGCGGTGTAAGTGGTAGTACGTTCTGGTGGTGTAAGTGGTAGTACTGTCTGGTGGCAAGTGGTAGCAATTGTCTGGTGGTGGTGGTAATTGTCTGGCGGTGTAAGTGGTAGTACCTCTGGTGGTGTGGGTGGTAGTACTGTCTGGTGGTGTGGCGGTAGTACTGTCTGGCGGTGTAAGTGGTAGTACTGTCTGGTGGTGTGGGCGGTAGTACTGTCTGGTGGTGTAAGTGGTAGTACTGTCTGCGGTAAGGCGGTAGTACTGTCTGGTGGTGTAAGTGGTAGTACTGTCGGTGGGTGTGTGGTAGTACTGTCTGGTGGTGTAGTGTGATTGTCTGGGTAAGTGGTAGTAGTGTCTGGTGGTGTAAGTGGTAGTACTGTCTGGCGGTGTAAGTGGTAGTACTGTCTGGTGGTGTAAGTGGTAGTACTGTTCGGGTGTGGGTGGTAGTACTGTCTGGTGGTGGGTGGTAGTACTGTCTGGTGGTGTAAGTGGTAGTACTGTTCAGGTGTGGGTAGTACCGTCTGGCGGTGTGGCGGTAGTACTGTCTGGTGGTGTAAGTGGTAGTACTGTCTGGTGGTGTGCGGTAGCACGTCTGGCGGTGTAAGTGGTAGTACTGTCTGGTGGTGTAAGTGGTAGTACTGTCTGTGGTGTAAGTGGTAGTACCGTCTGGTGGTGTAAGTGGTAGTACTGTCTGGTGGTGTAAGTGGTAGTACTGTCTGGTGGTGTAAGTGTAGTACTGTCTGGTGGTGTATGGTACTGTCTGGTGGTGTAAGTGGTAGTACTGTCTGGTGGTGTAAGTGGTAGTACTGTCTGGTGGTGTAAGTGGTAGTACTGTCTGGTGGTGTAAGTGGTAGTACTGTCTGGTGGTGAAAGTGGTAGTACCGTCGGTGGTGTATGGTAGTACTGTCTGGTGGTGTAAGTGGTAGTATTGTCGGTGGCGGCGGTAGACGTCTGGTGGTGAAAGTGGTAGTACTGTCTGGTGGTGAAAGTGGTAGTACTGTCTGGCGGTGTAAGCGGTAGTACTGTCTGGTGGTGTAAGTGGTAGTACTGTCTGGTGGTGTAAGTGGTAGTACCCCATCAACCATAATCTCCCTCAGCGTCTCTTGGTCCACACTATCTCAACCCTTCACCACAACCATAAATGCAACACACAAGTTTCCTGTTTCCCTAAAGAGTAAAATATATAATAATGAACTGATCTAATGTTGGGGATATGATGACCTTACGTGTTTTGCTGGTACATGGACAATCACATCAGAAGTGTTCCTATTGATCTAACTCACTTCACTTAACTTCACCTGAACTCACCAAATATTTCTATCCAGTTAGAACAAGTTATATCTGACGGCGACTACATCTTGTCTTAGGCCAACACCAGCACCTGAAGCAACAGTCACCACACACAGGTTAACGATGCATTAACTCAGGTGATCTTCAACACCAACTGACAGCTGGTGCATCTCACCACACCTGTAAAGAAAATTATTTACAAGTCTAAAAATTTGTGAGGGCAAGCTTTTTCGGAGTGAGAATTGTAAAATCTTAGAAAAATCTGCAAATGTGTTGTGGCGGCACCGAGTGTGAGCTCTTTCAAGACCAGACTTGACGAATACATTTTGGCGCCATCATGCTAATAGTGCAAAACAGACGCGACCGACCGCTCAGGAGGCTAACGAAAAGATCAGTTACGAACAAACGTAAAAATAAATAAATTACCTGCACCTGATACGTCACTAATCTTCGTACTGATGAAAAACGGCCCGTTTACGTGTTATACCACCAGCCAGGAATGTGTACAAGTCGGTCTTAACAAGAGTGGACGCTTATCTGATGTGATTTAGCCAGGCGAGCCCTCGAACCACCACTCAATTTTTAACCACTACCACAACAAAATTATAAACATCACAAATCCTCCACTAGCTTTAGGATATTTTCGAGATAAAAAATAATTTACCTTCTACAGAAATACGTCCTGTCGCTGCCAGGGCCATATTCCATAATTATTGGCTAAAATTCCTGTAAATCTACTTAAAAGCTGCTGATGGATCTCCTTTATAAAGTAATTAAAAGTAATACTGTAATATTCTAAAGATCATTACAAGTGACTGAAAGTGAACAAGAAAAAAAATATGGCCCACAATGGTGATCTTTTCATCCCTGGACACTTAATGCCTCCGGGTATATTTGCTCATTTACCTCCACCCTGGCTGAGTCTTGTTTTTTTATTGCACTTTAAACTAAACACACATATATTAACTCCTTAACCTTGACCTATTGTTCAACTTACCTTCACTTTAACCAAGAAAACCGCCCATAAAGCAACAGCCAGCTTACCCCGCCTCCCTATTTACTCCGCCAAGTGTCAACCAATCACACTCAGTCTTGCGCAGCCTGTTGGAAGTTTACCAATCATATAGAAGCTTACAACCACCGTCGCTGTGACCACCAAGGTAGATAAATAGATGGATATTTATTTACTAACTTAATCACTTGTATTTATTTATTTATTTAGTAATCTCTGAAAATACACAAGATACGTTTATTCACTTTATATTACGATACTTGATTGTCGGTTTCACTTAAACTGTTTGTATACTTGCATGATCTATGTATATACTGTAGTGCAGAGCAATATGCGAGGAAAACGTTATAGAAGAAAATTTTCTTATAACTGTCTAAACTATTTTGTTTGCAAAGATAAAGTTCCCGAGATTCGGTTGGTGACAACAAATGCAATAATAACCTTTCTAGTAGTTTTCTAATTTTCAACTCACAATATCTCGGTTATGGGTAAAATGCGCCAAAAATGTCAAAAGAAAATCCCCTTGTTTTGGTCTAAAAAAAAATAACATATACCTAATTATGTCCTCTATCATAAATTGACCCCCCAAAACACCTACAGTATTATATATATATATATATATATATATATATATATATATATATATATATATATATATATATATATATATATATATATATATATATATATATATATATATATATATATATATATATATATATATATATATATATATATATATATATATATATATATTTAGAAAACGAAGGAATTTCATATGGTTATAATTCCTCTGATCTTTCCCACACATGATAGTTATGGGTACTTGTCTTCAGAACTACAGGTATTTGTTGCACCTTTGACAGGTTGAACAGGCCGCCCCAAATGTAAACAAACAGCCGCCACCCAGCAGTCGGATCAGCGCCATCTACTAGTGGGGTGAAGACGTAGTGGGAGTGTAATGTTGAAAAGTATTCTTGAACTACCTCGGCGAATCATTAATTTTCCATTAAAGCAAATGATTCATACCTAACCTTGCCTAATAATCATCGGATATATATTTTTTTAATTTAGAATTAGAGTTACTTGTTCATATAGCTTTAAAAATATATCGGGTGATGGACCTGTTCGTGGTGTTATTTTAACATTAGCTACTTTGTGTGTTTATATCTTCAGCTCGTAAACAGTAACAGTCTGGGTGAGTGAGTGTCATTATCTCATTAACTACTCTACGAAACGATAACTTAGTTTAGTAATGTACAATAACAATACAGGGAAGGTTAGTCATATTAATCTGCATATGGTAGAAATACTAGACCAGCAGCATCTGGTGTTCTTAGGGCCAGGCGGTCACCCAAGTACCAAACATCCAATATTTGCTAACTTCATTCATCAGATAAGCTGTGTTTCCAATGTGGTACTACTGACAATGAAATCGTGCATAAATATTTAATGCATGATGTACCACACAGCAGTTGACTTTACTGTACTCCATTCACATGAGCTTTGCAACTAGGACAGGGGGGGGGGGGAACTGTGGCCAATGGTCTTGGAGTGACTGTGACCAGACTGGAATTTATCTTTTTTTTTATCTTTTAAGAGGAATCTTGGTTTAGAATTTATCGACGTATGATTCATTTTATGCCTAACAGGATTTGTTATAACTAAAATATTTTTTATGTGTTTTGGGTAAAAGTTCAGAAAAGGTAAACCACGGAATTCAATACTCACATACAGGGTAATGTCTGAGAACAGCACTACCACCAGAGGCAGTTGTTTGATTTCGTTAATTTTTTCCACAGATGTTCTTATCATTAAAAGAGGCAACATTTACTAGTACAGTACCTAACCCAATAAACCTACCTAACCTTGCCTAATTCAAGTAAATCATAAACGGGTGTAGTTGTGGAAGTCATCCGAGTAATGGTCGGAACAAACTTAATAGGAAGTAATAATTTCGTAACATTTACAAGGCAATACCCTATACAGGCCAGAATCCTTCCATTTATCTTGATAGTCTTGTGTCGGGCTTTTTCTAATAAAATTAGGAGTAACACTTTACCATTCTTATGCACCGACCTACTGTACACACAGGCCTAATATGGTACTGTACTGTACTTACATCCAGAATGCTGTACGCACTTAGATAAATTTATGAATTATATTTTTCAGGTGGTATATACTGTACTATATTTCAGTGTATTCTTTTAAGGAAGTGAATTAATTTTTTCCCTAGGTGAATGCTGTTGGAATGACTTTACTGTAAGTGGATGACTGTTGTTGTCTGCAGTGTGAAGAAACTCAGAGAATTAGCATCTTTCCTGTAAATTCCTCCGATATCATCAAAATAAAAAAAAATGATTTGTAAGGTACAGTATGTGTAAATATTCAGTGTTATTATGTTATTACTTTTTAGAAGATATTTTCATAATTGTATGTTAAACTGACCAGGTCTAGTACAGGAAACCTTAGAAGTTACTGCAAAAAAATTATGAGAAAATGTAAAAAAAAATTGTAAATTCAAATTTTCAAAAACTGGATCATTGTAAATTGAGTACTACAGTACTGGTACATGTACTATACTGTACTGTATATTTATGTTGCTCAGCAAGAGTGGAATAATCCAATTTGCCTCCTAGTGAGTTGTTACATTGGACCAATATGCCCAGCACTGTGGCCATTCACTTCCCTGCACATAAAAGAGCTTATCTTTGAAAAGATAATTGTATGGCAGTTGTGGGATGCGACTCAGCATATAAAAGGAAAATTTTGGTTCCTTGAAAAAAGAGTCAGCAGAGAAATGTATTTTGACAAAAAAATATCCAGTACAGTACAGTATATGTATTGTATGATGACGAGAAAAGATACTGCTGCCTCTTTTTAAATGAGTGCATAATATTAACACATTAAGCTTTCTTTTCTTTTTCTTTTTTTTTAAATTGGGTAAATTATTTATTTTTCTGTATACATCTCTACTGTACCTTGGGTCCACTCTATTATGAATATTTTGTCACCCAGACATACCAGTACAGTATCCAGGTCCCAAGGTGTTCAGTTACTGTTGTTGACTGTACAGTACAGTACTGAGAATCTTGGTTGTTGTTAATGTTATGGCTAATCATATGACTTCAAATGGAAATTGTCATTGATTTTTATCTATTGATATGTGTATTGACATAATGGTTGTTTTTCACAGGCCATATCACGGCGCCCGTCCACAGACATGCTGCGGAGGGAAATTCGCATGAGAAGGTACCGGCAGTTTCTTCTCCTGAGTACTGAGGTACAAGACCCTGGAGACCCACTCTCAAAATACAGCACTCAAGAATTCCAAGAAATATACAGGTACAGTATAGTCTCGGTTTACGCGGTCAATTAAACCCGTGGAGGTCCGCATAAAACGAGAAACGCGTAAACGAAATAACAGAACATGTGGGATTAATTGAAATAGAGACTGGGCCAACCCCCAGACTACCCTTTTTCCGACACAATACGTACGTTGTAGTAAAAATAACATCTTAATTTTATGATGGTATGCACACACAATTAATATTTAAGAGAAATATCAATAATATTAGTTTTTTTAACACTTACGTTAGTAGAAGAGATGGCTGGGCACACGGGGATGAGGGGTTGGTTCCGAGGCAGAGGGCAGATTATCGGCCCTCACCTGTATCACTTGTATCACTATCCACCAGAGAGGCTTGCAGGGCCTCTTTGTCAAACCCCTCAAAGTCCATGTCCTCACTATCACTGACTTGGGCTGGCTGTGGTGGGTGGCGGGTGAAGAACTCGGTAATGTTTTGTTGACTGGGCGACCTAGTGCGCACCCTGCCCTGTGCCGCTTCCCGTATAAATGATGGAATGTACTCCGTAACTAATAATTGCCGGTTTAGCCAGGTGCCGCGTAAATGACCAACCGCGTAAAGGAAATCCGCATAAATCGAGACTACTGTACTGTATAGGTTACTTTCCTCTGACAACTTTGTTCTATGATAGTTTATTAAGATGTCTTAAAAACATTTACTGTACAGTGCTGTAATCTTAATTCACAGCTATAAATCGAAGAGAAGATATTGGGATTAAATGAAGAGGAGAGATAAAGAATATGTGTTATGAGATAAGAGGACTACAGGTTTCACTTTAAAAATCTGAAATGCTTGAGACCAGAGTTATTTTGTTAAGCTGAAAATTATAAAAAAAACTAATACCCAGTATTTCACTCAGCACCACATATAATATTATATTATAATTATACTGTACTGTACACTAATATATAATATGTAAAACTGAAACTAAACTAAGTACTGTAACACAATAAATAAGGTAATGAATAATAATTAAAAAAACAAGTATGTACTGTGAAAGTGGGCCATATAGACATGACTGCCCCTTAGGGACAGTGTGGATACAGCACACTGTTTACTAAGCCTTTGGTATACAAGGAGACACCCATTTACAGCTGGATGAACTGGGAACGCCCAGGAATCAAACCAACAATCCCCAAAACAGGAGGACAGCGCTGTACCATTTGACCTACAATTAAAGATTTGGAAATGTAAGGCTGTGTAGGCAACTCAAGTTTTTTCGGATTTTCAGATAACCGATGATCGGGTTTTTTTATGTGCACAAAATAAATACCATGTGATCTATAAGAAGAATTTGTTATGTTAGACTGAGATATGTAATAGTTTTTGCAGAGAACATTTTGTAGGTTTAATAAAAAGTGAGATTGTACAGTTAACTGATAGATGGACCTGCAAAGATAACTAGAAATTTGTTTTGGGCTACAATCTTTAGATATTTTTGTTTAAAAAATATAGTGTTACATAGGATGTAGATGTATCAGATAGTTCATTACTTCTATTTGATATTCTACTTGTCAGACTATCGAAGGAGTTGTTTTGTGAGCTTCTTAACATGATCCAGGGAGATCTGGAGCGCTCTGACAACCGTGGCCGACCTCTTCCTGCTGTCTACCAGCTCTTGATTGCCCTTCACTTCTATTGCAGTGGCTCATATCAGGTATAAAATGCAAGTTCCTCTTGATTTTAAGAGTTTTCCATAGCACATTGGGTCCTTCATATTCTCAAGATAACTTAAGTACAATTTTCTCCTTGGCTTGCTGCAGCCCATTGTAATGAGCTTTGTTTATGGGCCAATATTTATGAATCTTCATGAATGACACATTGCTTAGGATCCATTTATATATATTTAAAGTAATTTCACAACTTTGTTATGAAAAGTTATTGCCTTCAGCATTCATTTGTTCCACATTGGGACCATCATCATAAACATTTTACAACCATTTTCCATGGTTTAGCTGTGATTACTTGATGGCAGCTTTCCATGCTGCATGGCCTCTTGCGATCTCTCTTGTCAGTTTCTTGGCTCTAATGTCATTTCTTACAGTTTGTCCCCATGTCATTCTTGGCTCTCCTCCCCTCCACATTAGGCTCATGCACCTCTTGACCCAATTGGGATTTTTTTTTTGCGTTTCTTCATTTTTTATAATTTCTAAACTATCTCTATGTTTTCTCTTATCGTTAGAGGTGAGCCCTTATCCTCAGTTTTGTGACAGCCACACGATGAAAGATCTGATCTAAATGTATGAAGTTATGCTAATGAGACCTTTGTACTTAAGAGATGTGGAGACTCTGCAGATTGTACAGTATGGAGAAGACTACATCTGCACCACTCCAGTTAAACAAATCATCATAGGATTGTCACACATGTTAATCACTTTAAATTTTTATTCATCCAGAAAGTAGTAGGGGATCAGCACGGATTGCAAGTGAGTCAGCCCACAGTGTGTCGAACCATCCATCGAGTGTCAGAAGCTCTGGCCAAGCGTTACAGTCAGTTTGTCACTTTTCCATCTGTTGCAGAGTCTGCTGATGTACATGCTAAGTAAGTTGATTCTCCATTGGCTCTCTTTCTGTTGTACATGACTACTGCAGTTTCTGTGCTTCTATGATTGTCTGTTGCTTGGGTTCAAATATGATACACTAGACTGTGTACTGTTTGTCTCATTATTATATCACCGTTATATACCACATTATTTTCCTCCCACCGTCACCATTTGTCAGTTCAAGTAGGTCGACAAAGCATCCCTCAAAGTTAGTTTTTAAACAGTCAAATGATGTTGGAGGGAGAAGTGGTGAAACATCATATAGCCTATAGTCGTTTTTTTTTTTTTATTTGATGGTACAAGGCTTAGTCCCACCCCCTCCCAAAGGTGTGAACTTGTTTATGTCCTCAATGGTAAATAATCTTTATTTAAAACTTTTTTTCCACTCATATCTTAAATGTTAATATTTTCAAGCAGATATATCTTTACTGTATAGACATTAAATTTGGCATTAAAATGAGCCAGAACTGGGTATTCTTAACAGTTAAATAATAATTTATTTGCGACATATAAATATTATTCGAACATTCTGTACAAGCCAATGAGCCTTCAACTAAAGAAAACAGACTATAGGTCTATATTATTCTTAAAATTATATATTTTTTTTACATACTGTATACACTAAAGTCTATTTAGGCACATACAGGACCTGAGCATTAATTACAGATCACACATCAATCAGGTACACTCCTGTTTCTCCAACAACAGCACTGACACCTAGCCCATGGGTTACTTAGCTGGTATAGGTAAACTTAGTATCAGTGGTGCTGGCTCATCAGGGTTTATTTTCTTTGGGGAATCTGTCTCTGGCTACAGGATTCATTCCCAGCAATACACAGCTGTATCTTCTCACTCCAACAATCCTGGGTTTAGCAGCATTTCCCACAGCTACTCACAGCCTCACAATTGAGGAACAGCAGTACTGTGCTAGTTCCTCACACCTTTACCTGTTAACAATGTGGGAGTGATGCATTTGAACCTAATGCAGACAAACTCTCAAACTTGTACTGATCTGACTACTTTTTGGTATACAGTACTCTACTGTATGGACAATATGCTAGCCCACTAACTGCATTAGAGCAATGTGCTTGCACTACTCAGAGGCTGCAAATATAATTATATCAAGATAATACTCCACACAAACGCAAGTATGCGCACACACACTTATACATATGGGACTATCCTGTTAACAATGAGGGAGAGACGCATTTGAACACATCTCCAGTGTTTCTAAGCCTTACAGTCTCGACAGATACTAAGTCCCTACCTCCATGGTCCTTAATTCTGAATTGTTTACAAATCCTTCCAAGGGTATTATTATTTCTCATAGTACAGTTAAATTCATTAATTTTAAAATAAATAATACAATCAGTGTCTCAGACATCGATGTGGTGGACAATTTATTTATAAAGAAGCTAATTCAAACCAAGGGACCATCAGTTCCCTGGGCCCAGTTTGAATGCATGGTTATCTCTGGCTTCCTTTAGGTTCAACTCACTTTGAACAGAGATCATGGGATAACCTCAACCCTTCACTTTTACTGGTCTTGGGTATCTTAAAAATGTTGAACTACATCATCAATCTCTCAGACATCTGATTGTATTATTCACAATATTTCACCCTTGGCTACAAGTTAGGCCTTCACAGCAATCATAGAGGTACCTTGAATTCTCCCTTAATATTAGATGTATTCATACTTAAGTTTACAAACACTGATTTGGGATAATCAGTACATTTCATGTTACCAATCATTTTTCTGCTTATATGAATGATCCCTGTGTATGACCATTCTGTGACACATTTCCCATGCAATGGGGAACTCAAATATTACACATACAACAAGTAAATAAGATAATATTTTCTTGAAATGCAGCTGTAATATGAATTCAAAAGAGATGGTAGATTACCAGACTGAACTATACCGCAGTACAATGGCACAACTATGATACAGTATACTAAGTGGTTGATCTAGGACCCAAGAGATCTTGACGTTAGTCATCCTCACCATTTTCCACATGACCAAGACTAATCTAACAATTAGTTAATCTCCTGAAAAGCAAGAGATCACAGCATAGTCACTATGTAGCTACTTCAGTACAGTAAAATGAACAGTTACATATTGTTTAACTACACTATGCCACCATTACATCTACACCTGCATAAATAGTGTCATTGACTTAGGGAAGTGTTACTGTATTTCTTCTGGTTAATTCCAGAAATTTTGTTGATGATACTTTTAAGTGTGTTATAAAGAGATGGAAAGACATTGCATTACAGTAATACAATTGCTTTTATTATTTTTTTTACAGATTCTATGAGGTAGCTCAGTTTCCTAATGTTATTGGTGCCATCGACTGTATCCACATGCGGATATCCAACCCTGGAGGTGCAATGGCAGAACAGTGCAAGAACAGTAAAGGCTGGTATTCAGTGAACTGTCAGGTGGTGGTCGGCCCTGACCTAAAAATATTGACTGCCATTGTCCGATGGGGAGGAAGCGTACCTGACTGGCAGATATACGAGAATTCCAGACTAAAACAGGTTTTAGAACAAGGTGAGTATGGTCACCTCGTTGGGGACTCCGCATATCAATGTCAGCGCTACTTGTTGACTCCAGTCATCAACCCCATGACACAAGCAGAAAAGTGCTACAATCGTTCTCATTCCTCAACCCGGAGAAAAGTGAAGCGAGTCTTTGGAATGGTAAAAAGGCGCTTCCAGTGCACAAGCCAAGAACTAAGGTCCAACCCCAAAACTTCTTGTGCAATAATTTTAAGTTGTTTTGCATTGCATAATTTTGCCCTTGAGCGACAAGGGCCTCCTGATGATTCAGAAGCCCTTTATGCCCCTGATGATGGTCCTCAGGATAGGTTTACTGGAGATGATGACCCTGAAGGGGAATCATATCGTCAGCATATAATATATGAATGGTTCAGCCACGAACCATCAGGAGTTCCCCATCAACCAGACGATGGTATGTGTGAGACACAAGGTTGGTGACCAGTATCCATCACACACACTGGAGGATTTATCAACTATAGTTGTCGTGTTATAAATTTTTGCCTGGCGTGGAAGTAGCCATCAATGGCTCTCATATAAACCCCATCCCATCTGCAGTGTCCAATTTATGACACTTTGTTTTCTTCTGAACATCTAAAGAATCTTAAAAGAGCTGCAATATAATTTTCTATCACTAGATAATAGTTCCCTTAGTATTGTATATATGATTCTCATCTTAAACATTGTTGACAAGTGGCAGAAGTTAGAATTTTTCAAATAATTTTGTATTAGTGTTATTAATTATTTTATAACAGGCAAAGCCCTGAATTATGCAACTTGTTTGTGGAGATAAGTATTGAAGTACTGTACAATATACAGTAACTATTTTGTTGTATTTTATTTCTCCTTTTATTATTAGTCAACTGAAAAGTTGGGGACCACGAGACTTCTGGAAAATGGATAATTACGTAAAATGGAAATTATAATGACAATACAAGAATTTCTTGATTTATGCGATAATTACGTTCTTGAAAATGGTCGTGTAAATATAAAACGTATTATTCAAATAATGTAAATAGTGAAGATTTGGAGGTTTCATTATTCATAAGACAGTACCTAACATTATACCAGTGAAAAACTATAGAACTTTATACATGTACCAGGAAATATAAAATACTCCAGGGTCATACCTGTATCACAAACATGCTGACAGAAACAGTATGGTGTTTGATCCATGTGCTCAACATCTGTTCCATTCTCTCCATAATCATACTTCGGGAATACGAGGTCTTAGATGCACTGATTAATGTTCCACTCTTGGCACTCTCCTTGATCTTCTCTGCACCATCACAAATAGTTCTTAAAATAGATTGACCAACTTCAAGGTCACATATAGTATGAGCTGTTCGTTCATCTCCCTCATAATGTTTGAGCACATCCATCTGAATCTCAACGGTGATGGCCTTGCACTTCTTAGCACCACTGGTACCATAACTTAAAGGATGATTTGGTGGCATGATGCAGGGGACAAACACATGCAATATACCTTTGGATAGTGAAAAAGAGGTAAGAATAGAATAATTGGATAAGTGAATTTTTAGTTAGCAAGGGATACCTGTATTACTTAACCCCTCAAGTATGCAAATCTCCCTCAGTGTTAACCATCCCAGATGAAAAAAAAGTGAGAAATATTTTTAATTTTTGGCCAATATAGCATTTGGGTGTTTGATTCTCAAGTGAAATAAGCTGGGGTGCCTATTTTTTCAGTAGATCCAGAAATTTGTACATAGTGCACCGAAAATGTGACATTGTTCTAAAGTAATTTGGCAGACTTAAACAATGTGCTATAAATTTAATGTCGAAGGTACTTCAGAATTATGAAATAACTGGTATGAGATTTTAATATTAACAAAAGGGTAATCACACTCATTTGTAAAAAGACATTATAATAAGAACTTAAAAACATGTTTCACATCGCATATCATGGTAGTACGACGATACACTTTATATGTAGTTAAATAAAAATGGGGAAGAGACATACAAAGTAACATTGAGTAAATACCTTAAAACACGCCGGCATCTCCTGTATTGTACAAGTGATCAAAAGCAGCTTCATATCTACTACCAGGTCAAATCTTACTTCGATAAGGTTTTAATCATAAAAAGACATTTATGTCCATTCTCACTGAAAATTTGGATGGACTTCTGGGTAAAAAGAATTTGATCAATGGATACCTTTAAAACATTTTCAGTTATTCCTAATACCTAAAGCCTGTTCCAGCTCTGCCCGCTTCTGCTGGATCTTTGTATAAAAGTAGCGGTTGACGGCTTCGTGCGTCCAAGGCTGGAAATAGTACTGAGCTCGCCGCTCCTCCTCTGGGTTGCCAACAACATCTGTCATGGTTTTCAAGTCCCGATTCTGAAAAATAAAATCAATAAATAGAAGAAATAAATGCATAAAGGGTGTCATTAGATACTAAAACACCCTTTTCTTCCCTGCATCTGGATGGTCTCAGTTGTAAATGAATATTATTAGGTTTGTCTATTGCTTGGCTAGAACCACAATGGGGTTACATATTAAAAAGAAGCAACAGGGACCCACTTATACAGGCATTAAAGGCCAATTAAGTTGATGATCAATAGGTCTTCTAACTTTCTAAATACTTACCATTCACAACACATAATATTACATTTGCTTTGCACTTGTAGCTTTCTGGCACATAATGTAATACTATAACACCTTTTATTTCACCCTCTACTGTGCCTCTACCTTAAGCTCCACTAAGTTTTCTGCAGACCTTGTGAGGAATTTTACAACAAATATATAAAATTCTCAAATTTTTATAATATGTAAACATACAAGTCCCTGTATTTATTATTAGGACTATCAGATTTGTTACACAGCACATTCTACTGTACTGTATATACATGTACAGCATTGTATACATAAATATAGATAATACAAAGGGTAACACCACTCACCTGAGATATTAGCCATTTCTGTATAAACTGTTGCGGATCTTTGGCGAAGGAAAGGTAAAATTCCCTGTTAGTTTTGAGGGAGTTAATGGTTTCCACTGTCTCGTGGATCTTGGTGTCGAGTGTCTGGATGTCCTGCTGGGAGTTGGTGCTCAGCAGGAAGTTATTCATCTGAGTCTGTTAACAGCAGGAAAAAAAAGAATATATGAGATTACTAAGCAAAATTTTCTGAGGACAGTTCAAGGCCAACTTAACTATTCATATAACTGTTAAGGTAAAGACAAGAGAGTGCATGATACAGTATTTGGAATGATTCACTGGACAGTAATGTGAATAATTATTTTTGTTTGTAAATCAAAAGTTGGAAACATATGAGTCTGATTTTCAAAGTGAGAGATAGAGGTTATACTTTGTACTTTATAACATTCAAGGAACAGTTTAAAATTTATACACAAAATCTCTCACTATATTTCCTGCAGTCTTTCACAAAATACAAGTAAAATCAAGAGAAAAAAATTTGCTTTGTTTCAGAATATCATCCTTGAAATAAACATAACTCCTGGACAAAAACTTTACTTACTTTATATGAGCCTAAAATAGTCAAGCATTATAGATAAATCCATAAAGACTCTGCTCACCTTGAGGTTATCATCTACTTCTACATCTATGTCATAGCAAGATGTCTTCTTCTGGTCTGCACCCTCAACAGAGATGGTGTGGTTGATGATGATGGGGTCTGGGGGGAACAACAGCTGGTTCAGTCTACCGGGGATCTCTGCAAACTTCATACGAGGAACACCAAAGATCTGGAAAATAATGGTAAAAACCTATTAACGATGGCTGGGTGAACAATATCACTACCACAACCCTCCCCAACTTCTGATTAAGTGTATAAAAATATCAGACATTCATATAAGCACACCATACAATTTCACAGATTTCTTTTGCAACAGAATATCCAACAGCTACATAAAATACTGTCAAATGCCCTTTATGACTGGATATCCAAAATTCACACTACACATTCTCACAGTTTTCAATGACAGCCTCTGGGAATCTTTTAAGATTGGACATAAAATATTCATACTTCCATATTGTCAGTCAATGGAGAACCAGTTCAAGTTCTAGCACTGCAGCTTATTATCTATGATGAATGTGCATAGGTGGCTATTCAACTATGTTAAGGCACAAGATTAAGCTAATCCATCCTACTTGTATTGGATGGAAACATAACCTAAGTTAGAGACAGAAATACTTTGAATACTGACCTGTTCTAAGTATTTGTCACAGTTGATATATTCTCTCTCATGACCATCCTGCAGCTTGTGTGTTTTTATGTATTGCCACAATGCAGTAATGATGACAGGACGTGTTTGAGTGTGCACCCCCAAGAGGCGTGCTAAACGTGGATCCAGCTTGAACTGATGTGGCTGATAATCCAGCAAAAGCAGAATGGTACACCGGACGTTTTTATCTCCAGGTCGCTTCACCTGTAAGACACCATCATCACAGTAAATGATACAACCTTTAACAGTACTGTACCATACTGGGTTATTAGCTCCTCTAATACAAGAAATCTTTACCAGTTTCACACAGAGATCTGGAAACAAAGGCAACAAATGAAATGGTAACTGTAATGTTTCAAACTGTATCACAACACTTAACCTACATCAAGGCCAGGTTTGATTATTCCTCAAACAAATCTTCAATTATCTCAAAATCAGAAAATATATAATCAATCACTGATGATCTCTTAAACATATCAGAAACCTTCTGTAGTAGTTTATGCAATCACACTTCCCACCTCAGTCTTGTTAACACCGAGTTTGAGAAGTCATCCTAGCACCCTAGGTATATTTCACAGTAACTTAATGCACAGTAAGTAAAAAAAAATTTTGTAAATTTTTCAAAAACAGTATTTTTTTTAACGAGGCTCTGAACCAAACTCATAATGTATAAAAGTTTTCCTTTAAACCACTATTGGATAATGTACAAGTACTCTTAGAAATTAAATTAAATACAGAAAAACCATAGGCAGCGTGTAATTTGCATTTGAAAAGAAATTAAAATGTTTGAATGTCATTTGGACTAGCAATTATAGATTTAAAATTCTGGACAACAGATCCTTAATCAGCAAGTTCAGGAGTACATAAGAGATTTTGAACAAAATTGGTGAGACGAAGATTATGTCCAAAACGATAACCCAAAATGATATAGTTCTGTAATACAATATGATCTGAAAGAATGATCTAGAGAGGAGCAGAGTTCTAGACTGACTAAGTAACAAGTGATGGAACACCAACCTGAAAGCCATCAGTCTCCTGGGTGGTGGCTGTTCTGTGCCACTCAACAAGGTGATTATCAGGTCCATAAAGGTCCTTATCCAACTCAATCACCAGAGACTTGAAGAAGGAGGAGAACTTGCGCTTCAGTTTACTTGGATCATTCTGGAATAAATCTTCAGGATAAGAAAACTAAGAGGAAACAAAAGTATAACTAATACTGCACCTACAGGCACAAGCAGCCTAGTGGATATAGCATTTATCTCTTTTCCTAATGGTACAGTACCTAACTTTTAGAGGAGAAGGGAGGATGCTGTCAAGAGCAGTGCCAAATGTACTGAGGAGTTAGTATACAAAGTCCTGAACAAGAGCAAGGTCTTTGGGAACAACTTTGACTTTTTACATATGAGAAATGTTTTTATATTCATCTCTCCATTTGCCGTTTCTTTTAAATCATTAAAAGTTAACTATCAAAATAAAAGCTAAAATGTGTTCAGAAAACTTAAGACAATATTATATAATGAACATTATTGATTAATTATGGCTGATTTACTCACATCATCTTTACAATTATAAACCTTACTGTAATTTATTCTCTCATGCAGTTTGCTACTTGCTGTGGAATCAGGAGCTGTAATTGATCAAAGTATTGTTTTCTTTAGTCAAACTTATATTACCTTGTACACAAACACACCATTAAGACGATAAATCAGCCAGATATCTTACCTTATGGTCCTCTAAGAGCCGACCCTCCACTCTCAGTTCCCAGGATGCAACAGAAGCTTCGTCGCCCTCACCACCCTCAGCACGAGCAGGGTAAAATGTATTTGAGATGAAGATACGCAGTTTTTTTTTAACTTTCATGGGTCGCTTCAAAGCTTCCTGTAATACAATGTAATCAAATGAGAAAAGAGAAATTCTGGATTTAATTCATAAGTAGAATGACTTTCACACCAAAATTCTAATAAGAATAACTACTGTATCAATCCTTTTTGTTTTTTAGAGTACTATGAACAAGGCCATTAGTGAAGGTGAGGTGTGCAACACCCCCCCCCCAAATCAAAATTGATTGAGAGTCACAAATATGGTGTACTGGGAAATAGTGGCAAAATAGCCTTTACCGGACTCATTCCAGATATACAATAAACAGAGCTGCAAACCAAACATCACTTTAATATGCCAAGCCTTTCTTAGATTACCAATTGAAGGAAATTCTGTAGTTACCTGAATATCCAGTCTCTTCCTCATGATGGTGGCATCAAGTTTACGCTCAAAGGCCAGGAGATCCATATATGCCTGACTTTCCGGAACAAGATCCCGAACCTATAAATATATCAGCCAATATGAAAATGAGAGAAAACACTCTATGAAGCTAAACACATCTAGAAATATCTTTGGACTTACTATAGTGACATGAGAAAGTGGAGTAAAAGTAAACACAGATTTCTGAATAGGTATAAACTTCCTCCAACCACTCCTGACTCCTGCATCCCCTTCAATGTCAATCATGTCAGACTGTGCTTTTTTTTTAATAAATGTTGCTGTTATAACTGCAATGCTAAAAGAAAAAACTTTCTTGTATGTATATTAAAAATGTCTATATGTTGAGCATTAATAAATTTTCTCTTTAAAATAATAGGCACTTGTTAAGTTTTATATACCTTATGTAATGATTAAGTGTATAAAACTTCCAATACATTATACTGTATATAAAGTTCACTCTTTAGTATCCAGAATCCTCAGCACAGTACATGCTAGATTCTCAAAAATGCCAGTCTGTTGACAGTATTATACCTGCCTAAACCTTTTGAGAAAAGTAACAACTACTTCAGGTTCCACTATAGATGGGTCACTGTACCTTTTGTGGAAGAATCTTCTCAGCCAACTTCTTCTTCTTTTTAGAACTACCATGAGAATAGTCTGAAGGAACCCCTCCCTGGCTGGTGGGGGGAGGTCCACCACCACCACCACTTCCCCCGCTGCCTCCTCCACTGTTGAATAAAGAAGTGTGGTACAGTACTGTATATTACAAGCATAAGTGATATGATAAAGCTTGTTTATAAATACTTAAAAAGCTTAGTGTTCTCTTTTACCTGCAGCTAGTAAGGTCAAAGTCAGCATGTACAGTACCCTGATTTGCCTCTCATGTAAGAGTAGCATTACTAAATTTTCAGGGATCATTCTTCCTATAATCTGTTGTGCCTTACACCTTTAAATTTTCTAATGTTATGTCACTAATTAGCTACTAATGGATTTTCAAACTACTGTACACAAAACAGTACCAGTTGTAAGACAGTTCTGTCTAAGGCTACAAGAGCATGTACTGTACTAACCTTTTGGAAGAACTAGATGATGCAGGGCGTTTAGAGCCAGGAGTTGTGGGCATGGTTGGGGGACGGACCATTCCCCCGCTGTACGGCTGTGGGCCCGGGGGACCTGGGGCACGCTGCATCACAGGAGCTGGACTTCCCGCAGGACCCCCCATCCCAACAGGGGGGTATTGTGACCGCTGCACATTCATCTGCTGAAAAAACAATACAATTATAATAAATAAAAAATAAAATTTAAATACTGTATCTGGTCTCCACTAATTTTTTTCTTTTGTCAAAACTTATTTAAATGTGTACGCCCATTAAATACTTGATTATCAATAACAGTTACCTTCTACAAATAAAAAAAGCTAATCCACAAATTCCAGTTTACGAACCTCAATTGTATGCCAGTGTTTACTGAATAATTACCTAATCACCTACCTTCCCTCCGCTTCATAGCCCTGCCCATTGTCAGGTTCTGTGCATTGTTGTTTCCATTTCCTTATTTGGTGTCATTCAAATAACATCTCCAAAACATTCTGTGCAATTCCTTAAGTTCCAACCAGGAGCGAACTCATAGCAATGGTTTCAAATTAGACAAATTTAGATTTGGGTGCAAGACAGGTAAACACTGGTTTGGAAATAAGAGTAGTGGATGAGTGGAACAAGTTACCAGGTTCTCAACTGGCTCAGCCGTGTTAAAATTTTTATTATTATCCACTCTGTATCTGTGTTTTTCTGGCTAAATAAACCGTTTCAATTCAATTCATCATTAACCCGACCACGCTGGATAGCTTCAATTATAAGTTGGGCGGATATATGAGTGACAGGGGTTGGGTGTAAATGGGGCTGTACAGTATGGGCCAATAGTCCTGCTGCAGTTTCCTCCATTCTTATGTTCTTATAAATAGAGACGATTAACACCAGAAGGACTTTAAGGAATTTCACCAAATTTTCAGATTTTGTTTGGATGATACTGAGTAATAAAACTGAAGGAACAACGTTGTATTACATTTTCTTTTTAGTCTTTCCTTCGATCATAATTGACTTGTTAGAGGGCAGGGCTTTAAAGAGTGGTAATTTCACATCTCTACGTCCTTTGTAAGCCAAGTTATAAGATATTTACCATAATTATGGCACCAGCGGTCTTTGTCTACATGTCATGAACCAACGACAATCTCATTGGATGTGTTTATTACTATTTATATTGGATTGAAATCATTCATATTTCTAGAATGTTGTTTGGATGATAGTAAGCAATAAATTAAAAACGACAATGCACAGGTTAGGAAGTTAAGAGAGGTTAGGTAAGGTTAGGTCAGGCTCTAATAGGTTCTGTTCATTCTTGCTTTCATTTACAAGTTCAGCATCAGGCAAATAGTATCTCCAGAAATTCCAGTTAATTTCCATAAGTTATTCCTGGTGCTAACTGTCTCCTAAAGAGCATAGACATACACAGTGCTCAACAGCCAAGGAAGAAGTGTAAGGCAACTTCTCTAAAACCATAATTCTACTTGTTGATAAACAAAATTTACAAATATTTTTTTAAGAAAACCAGGAACCTTATATTAACTCAAATCATAGAATGTCAATGACCTGTAGACCGTACTAACAAGTAAATATTCCTTTATGTCTTTTGTTTACAATTATCGAGTGGCGCCCGCACTCTAACATTGACGACGTTTACTTGTGATTATTACTTAAATATATCTGTTACTTACAGGGTAACTCTGCTGGGGATATCTCATAGGGGTTCCCTGTCCCCCCTGAGGCACAGCATACCTCTGGGAGGAGACAGGAGGGGCACCTGGAGGTGGCGGAGTTCCCGGGTAAGGAGGACGCGACGCCATTTTCAATCAAGATCGCTTAGTGTACAAAACTACAAAATAAAATATTTGTATATATTGTTTTACATTATAATTTTTCTATAAAATTCGGTAGGCAGTTATATTCTTATATATATTTAAATTAAATCACGTATAACTCGAATCTATTAAAAAAATATGATATGAGCATATATATATATACTGTATATATGAGAAGGGAAAGCATTGCGTTATGTCGGTCCCACCAATATTAATAGTAACATGAGATTGTAATAAAAATATATATCAGATTCAAAATTCATTCACATCTTTATTATATGAAATAACACTATCAACATGACTCTTATTTTGCTTAAAACATATATAATTATTTAAGTTACAATTGGAATGGATAATGTCATTACGCCCTGCCGGAATAAGAGTTTGTTTACATAAATTAAACTTCATATAACCAAAGTTAGATTGTATTGTGTATATTCAATACATTGGTGTGCCATTGCCATAAGCAGTACTAAGGTTAATGTAATAAATACATTTCACAGGCTTAATTAGGCTCCAAGAAAATGCATAGGAAAGTTAATGTCAATCACCCTAGCCCAAAATATAAAAGAAGAAATCTGCTGACTTCTTCCTTTACTATTTCAATGATTAAGGTGCGCTTTAAAATTGGCATGATACTGATACAAATAATTATCGAAATTTCGTCTTTACACACACACCAAAAAACAGTATCTGCCGAACTTTGAGCTCCAATGTGTATAAAGGAATGAAAGTTTTAAGTACCTGTAGTTGAACTATCGTCGAGTGTTGAAAGGAATGCAAAATATTAAGGTACCACTCCGTACCAGGTCATAAAACCTGAAAAGTTGGCTTTGGTGGCCAACTTAGGCAAATGGGAGGAGGGAGGGGGTCACAGGATACTGATTATGCTTTTCTTTCTTGTCAGTTTTGGCGGTGGGTGAGAGTTTGAGTTAAAGAGATCGAATGCTCCTGGTGAAGGTTAAGTAATTTTTACAATTACGTATTACCAACTCTTACCATAACCTAATATAACTTATCCCAAACCTTAACTAACCAAAGACCCTTAACCTAGCAAAAATAACTGTAATCTAACCTAACCCAATTTAATCTTAACCAAACTTGACCTAACGTAATCAAAGCCAACCTGTCCGTAACACATATCACTGTGTGCATCGCTGAGGAGAAATCTTTCATATTTCTACCAATTAAATAAAGTTGGAGACGATGATTATACGTGAAGAAATAAAGGAATAGGCTAGAAGCTAGAGCGCACGCCCAAGAGTGTGACAGTGTGTGTGGTCGCGCGGTGTCCAGTTAAAACAGTAAGAGAACTCGGCTCCTCCCCACCACACACACTACCGTCATCATGGACACGCACGAGGTAAGAGATGTTAGAGACTTCGGGGTCATTGAAATTTATAGTAAACTTATTGATAAACTTCACAAATACCTGTTATAATAATTCCCAAATAGGTGGATGACTTTACATCTGACAGATATAAATTCAAATATACAGTATAGTAGTAATAGAAATTTCCATATAATTGTTAAAGACAAGAATATAATTACACATACTTAATGATTCTTAGTGTATGATAATGCGTATTTTTTTATCTTATGTATACATTTCTGTGTGTATACCTATGGTTCACAAATAGGGTGGTGGACGAGTAGCACAAGCTTAGCAATTTTGTAGTAAGTGCTGGGACGCTGGAAAGTTTTAAAAGGAGGCTAGATAGATTCATGGATGATAGAGAGTGGTAGTAACTCGACAGGAGCTGCCACGCACAGGTCAACCGGCCTATTGCAGACTCCTTATTTTCTTATGTTCTTATGGTTATGATTAATACTTCTCACTCCCAAATAATGCCAGTGCGGTAGGTGAGGTGTCCGGTCTTCATGGGCCCTCACTTGAAGCATGGTTTATCAGCTCACTAATTAATTGATGGTGTAGTTGAGGTTTAATCACCAACTCATTATAGGTTGTGATTGTTAATATAATTTTATATGTTTATTTATGTATTAAATAACATAGTGTAAATAGGTTTCCTTAGGTTAAGTTAGATTTGGTTAGGTTATATTATGAAGTTAAGTTAAGTTAGGTTAAACAAGGGTTTTTTTTTTTTTACGGGGATTAGCCCACCCGGGCACAGGTCACTGACCCACATCAGGGCCTGGGGGGTGAAAATGTAATAATTATTCATAGTAAATAAAATTTACAATAAAAAGTAAAATAAAATAATAATAACAATAATAATAATAACACCGTAATAATAATAATAAAGAACTATAAAGAAAAAAAAGAAAAATAGTGAGAAACAATATATGTATGTTGTGTTGTCAAGTAAGAAAAACAATTGAAACCCTGCAATTGTGTGTAAATGAGGCAGAAAGACAGGTGAGCAACCTGGGATTTGGTCACAATTTTCGTGATGCCATATGGCAGCAGGGTCTACCATGATGCTTCCAATATCTTCCCAGGCAGTAGTACCTCCCTGTTTGAGAGCTGCCTACTACCTACTTCCTGTTAAAGGTTTAGTTTGGTTACGTTAAATTAAGATGGAGTTAGAATACGTTAAGTTAGGTTAAATCAGATCAAGTTAGATTTATTTATAGTTAGGTTAGGTTAGGTGACTTAACTTCATGTGTGTTCAGTTATGTACGTAACTTTGAGTGTATAGCTATGTGCATATATATGTGTAACATCTATGTACGTAAACTTGTGTATATGTATAGTTAAAGTGTGTTTGTCTGTAAGTTTGTTTGTTGTTTGTTTATAAGTAAGTGTGTGTGTGTGTGTGTGTGTGTGTGTGTGTGTGTACTGTACATACCGAGACGTGTACACAGGTGGTGGTAGTCAGGTCAACAAACATTATGGTATGTCTGGTCGTCATGGAGCTGCTACCACCGCTACCACCACCACCACCTCCTCCACCACCACACACCCATAACACACAAGGCTCAATCTCCCATGTAACACCCCTGGAAAATCGACCATACAAATCACAATTGGTTAGCAGTGTCTTGGCATAATAGAGAGGACCTTTTGTGTTAGAGTTTACTGTGGTATGTCCTGTTATTGCCCGGAGTTCTCTTTTTATTTATTCCAACAGTGAACAAACTTACTGCCAGCATATAGCTAAGTGATCACGTGAAGATTAGGCACCCCGGAATATTTCACCTAAAGATTAACCACCATAATGCTAACCTAACCTAGCTTAACCTAACCTAACCTAACCTAACCACCATAATGCTAACCTAACCTAGCTTAACCTAACCTAACCTAACCTAACCACCATAATGCTAACCTAACCTAGCTTAACCTAACCTAACCACCATAATGCTAACCTAACCTAGCTTAACCTAACCTAACCTAACCACCACAATGCTAACCTAACCTAGCTTAACCTAACCTAACCACCACAATGCTAACCTAACCTAGCTTAACCTAACCTAACCACCATAATGCTAACCTAACCTAGCTTAACCTAACCTAATCCAACCTAACGTAATCGAAGGCAACGTAACCAGACAAAACCTAACCTAACGCAACTTATCCTACAGACAGACAGACAGACAGACAGACAGACACACACAGACAGACAGACAGACAGACAGACAGACAGACAGACACACATTAAACTGTCTCAACTAGCGGGTATAATAACAAAGATATAGACATCATAACTCACATTCCAACATTATTTATTCAGGTTAAGTAAAGACTTTAACAAAATAATACAATAAACTAACCCACCATTAACATCCAGGTTAAGTTAAAATAAAAGACGATAATAATTTAACTCTGGGAGACACAAAACAATTTAACAATATCAAGGTGTTAGTATTTTGTTTATAGTTTTATATAAGAAGGAAATAGTGGTGTGTTTTTTATTAAGGATTAAGAACTATATTATGAAGTGAATTAGACGGTGGAGAATAAATACGGGTTTTATTGTAGATTTTCTAAACATGCATACAGACACACACGCACGCACACACACACACACACACACACACACACACACACACACACACACACACACACACACACACACACACACAGACAGACAGACACACAAACACACACGAATCCAAACATCGAATTTTTTTCCTTATTCACAACCTTCAAGAGAGAGAGAGAGAGAGAGAGAGAGAGAGAGAGAGTCAACATTCCACGCACCTGTGTTATTAAGTCGATAATTACACTGCATAACACAATGGCGCCCATCATAACACTACCTTACGTAATTAACTCGGAGGGGTAGACTGTGTAGCCTTGACCTGTACTACGTGACCCTTGACCTGTACCACGTGACATTTGACCTGTGCCACGTGACCCTTGACCTGTGCCACGTGACCTTGACTATTACTCTGAGACACATACAACACTCTAGGACACATACACCAGGACACACACACACACACCAGGACACACACACATAAACCAGGACACACACACACACCAGGACACACACACACACACACACTATCCAGGACACAGGGAAATTACTCAAGGGTTCCTAGAAACTAATCCAGCTTTTAATGTCCAGGAAGTAAACCCCACAGTAATATAATTATCTACTGATACTGAGGGGTGTGGTGGGGGGTGAGATGTGTGTGGGTGGAGGTGAAATAGGCTTACACACAGGTAATGGCCGCCAATCTGAGCTGTGACTGTCGTACCCAGGTTGAGAGAGAGAGAGAGAGAGAGTTACTTGATTTTCTTTCTTTTTCATATCAAGGATCCCTCCCCCCCGCCCCCCGCTATATAATGAATCACGTAGAGAAAAGTCCATTATATCAAGGTTACACTATATATTAACTTCCTCCCACCCAGAAAAATTTAGTGTTTTGATACAGACACGAATAAAAATATATATATATACCTAAGTCATTTTATCTTATCTATTTTATAATCTTTTACAAACGTGTTTTATGGGTCTAGCATTATCAGATTGTTGTGATAGAACGTAATAACTGTTTGTTGTCTGCCGTGACGTAAACAAGTCCTCCGCACTCACCACCGTCACATGTAAACAAACACCAAGTCCTCCTTCCTCACCATATGTAAACAAACACCAAGTCCTCCTTCCTCACCATATGTAAACAAACACCAAGTCCTCCTTCCTCACCATATGTAAACAAACACCAAGTCCTCCTTCCTCACCATATGTAAACAAACACCAAGTCCTCCTTCCTCACTATATGTAAACAAACACCAAGTCCTCCTCTTCCTCACCATATAAACACTGTCCTTCCTCACCATATGTAAAACAAATGACTGTCCCTCCTCAATTATATAAACAAACACCAAGTCCTCACCATATGTAAACAAACACCAAGTCCTCCTTCCTCACCATATGTAAACAAACACCAAGTCCTCCTCACCATATGTAAACAAACACCACCATTTTATACAGGAATTATGGTAGAGATTCATCGCCTGAGGGATTTTGTCCAGATCACCAATTGGGTAGTTTCATTCAGATCACCAATTGGGTAGTTTCATCCAGATCACCATTGGGTAGTTTCATCCTGATCACCAATTGGGTAGTTTCATCCAGATCACCATTGGGTAGTTTCATCCTGATCACCAATTGGGTAGTTTCATCCTGATCACCATTGGGTAGTTTCATCCTGATCACCAATTGTGTAGTTTCATCCTGATCACCAATTGGGTAGTTTCATCCTGATCACCAATTGGGTAGTTTCATCCAGATCACCAATTGGGTAGTTTCATCCAGATCACCAATTGGGTCTAGTTTGATCCTGATCACCAATTGGGTAGTTTGATCCTGATCACCAATTGGGTAGTTTGATCTATAACAGTGTAAAGGAATTTCTGTTCGTGACTGTACACTTAATATTACCGTTAGTCAATAGAGAATCCAGGTCAATACCTATGGTCAGTCACACACACATTCTTTGGTAGTAACGACAGTACTTAACACTTCAGGCCAAAACCATTGTTACAAAATCTACACCACAACACTAAAACCATTACTACCATCACTACACAACATCAGAATACCACCATTATCACCCCCATCACCATCACCACCCTCCACCATCACTACCACTCTCCCTCATCACCACCACCAACACAACAGTCAGGGGGGAGGGAGGGAGGGAGGGAGGGGGGTCAACTTCCCAGAACTAAAGTATTGATCGGTTGCCCTCCGTGGTGGTCATCAATACAAGGGTCCCCACACACCTTCTCTCTCACTCATAAACAACCTAACTCAGTCACTCTTATCACCTCTCTATCCACAACCAGAGGCAATAAATCCGTGTTATGTTAATCGTGTTTAGGTTAGTGTTATGTTATTGGTGTAAATATGAGGTTAAATCAGTGTTATGTTAATCGTGTTTAGGTTAGTGTTATGTTATTGGTGTAAATATGAGGTTAAATCAGTGTTATGCTAATCGTATAAATATGAGGTTAAATCAGTGTTATGCTAATCGTGTAAACATAAGGTTAAATAAGGGAATTTTGTCCTCGGGAAATTTCGTTTGATGTGAATTTTAACCCAAGGGAAATTTTGTCCCAAGGTTGAGAATCCATCCTACACCCAACCAGGAAGTAAGGGGAGTGTCCTAACTTACCGCGTGTCCCCTCCCACATCTGATCGACATCGTGGCCACAAACATGACAGACCAACACGAGAAAAGTGAATTAGCGATTTCACAGATGCAACACGACACAGGTTCATAGGGTGTATACGGCGGGACGTGTAGGTCAATTATAAAACTGATACACGACAAAACTGAATTGATAGATAGATACATAGATAGATAGAAAGAGATAGATAGATAGATACACTTACATACATACATACATATGATAGATATAGATAGATAGATACACACACATACATACATACATATGATAGATAGAGATAGATAGATACACACACATACATACATACATATGATAGATAGAGATAGATAGATACACACACATACATACATACATATGATAGATAGAGATAGATAGATACACACATGCTATTGCCACATGCATATGATAGATACATAGCTGCGACATCATAACACCTGGCACCACGTGTTAACACCTCGCACCATCGTTAACACCTGCACCACGTGTTAACATCTCGCACCACGTGTTAACACCTCGCACCACGTGTTAACACCTGCATTAACGTGTTAACACCTGGCACCACGTGTTAACACTCGCACCACGTGTTAACACCTCGCACCACGTGTTAACACCTCGCACCACGTGTTAACACCTGGCACACAACGTGCCATCATTCCGGCACCACGTTGCCAACACCTGGCACCACGTGTTAACACTCGCACCACGTGTTAACACCTCGCACCACGTAAGCACACCTGGCACAACGTGTTAACACCTGGCACCACGTGTTAACACCTGGCACCACGTGTTAACACCTCGCACCACGTGTTAACACCTGGCACAACGTGTTAACACCTGGCACCACGTGTTAACACCTGGCACAACGTGTTAACACCTCGCACCACGTGTTAACACCTGGCACAACGTGTTAACACCTCGCACCACGTGTTAACACCTGGCACCACGTGTTAACACCTCGCTCCACGTGTTAACACCTGGCACCACGTGTTAACACCTCGCACCACGTGTTAACACCTGGCACAACGTGTTAACACCTCGCACCACGTGTTAACACCTGGCACAACGTGTTAACACCTCGCACCACGTGTTAACACCTGGCACCACGTGTTAACACCTCGCTCCACGTGTTAACACCTGGCACCACGTGTTAACACCTCGCTCCACGTGTTAACACCTGGCACCACGTGTTAACACCTCGCACCACGTGTTAACACCTGGCACCACGTGTTAACACCTCGCTCCACGTGTTAACACCTGGCACCACGTGTTAACACCTGGCTCCACGTGTATCTCAAGTGTATTGATCTCCGCTTGGTGTTGTTAGTAACGGTACAGTCTCCAAAGCAACTATGGTTTGTGACCTACTTAGTGTAGTGTCTGTAGTGAAGGAGCAATTTAATGTACAACTACCATAATAAGGGAGCATTTTTATAAGCAATTCACATTTTAGAGAATTTAGGGCTAAAGGAAAAATCTCCATACTCCAAAATGAAAAATATTGACCCAGCAACCAACTATATTTTACCCTTAAAGATAAAAATTAGGGAAAAAAAGTGACAGTCCTACAAAATTAAGGGCATAGGGCTACAAGGTCTGATATATTACCCTAAATTAACCTAAAGTCCTGATTCTCGGTAGACCCTTACGATAAAATAAACATTCCCCTTAAGTGATGCTATAAATGATGTCACTTTACTGTTTCACTTAACTTAAAACACATAAATTATCGTAGGTGTTTGGAAAATAATGTGATAATTTTTGTTTTGTTGTTGAGTTGGTGGTGAATGAACGTCTCTTGTTAGGATAGATTTTCGGTATAATTTTGGTGTTGTATTTGTGTTTGTTTTTCACCATTGGATTAGATTTAGTTTGGACAGTTTGGTACACAGACAGACACACACTAATAACACATTCTTATACACACACACACACACACACACACACACACACACACACACACACACACACACACACACACACACACACATCATCGTGCCACGTTTGAAGGTTAAAGCGACCATCAACACTGTAAGGTGGTGTAATACAAAGGAACACAACACGAGGGAGTGACGTAAGTGAGAGGTACATGACAGTGTGTGTGTGTAGAAGGAGAGTGTGTGTTGTGGGAGAGAGGGGGGGCAGGAGAGTGTGTGTTGAGGGGTGGGAGAGTGTGTGTTGAGGGGGAGAGTGTGTGTGCAGGGGGCAGGGAGAGTGTGTGTGTGAGGGGGTGTTAGAGTGTGTGTTGAGGGGGGTGTGTGTTGAGAGAGTGTGTTGAGGGGAGTGTGGAGGGGTGTGTGTGTGTGTTGCAGGGGTGTTAGAGTGTGTGTTGAGGGGCAGGAGAGTGTGTGTTTGAGGAGAGTGTGTGTTGAGGGGGCAGGAGAGTGTGTGTTGAGGGGGCAGGGAGAGTGTGTGTGAGGGCAGGAGAGTGTGTGTTGAGGGGGCAGGAGGTGTGTGTGAGAGGGGGCGGAGGGGGGGAGAGTGTGTGTTGAGAGAGTGTGTGTGAGGGGGGAGGAGGAGGGGGGAGAGTGTTTGAGGGGGGTGTTAGAGTGTGTGGAGGGGAGAGTGTGTGGTGTGAGGAGAGTGTGTGTTGAGGGGGCAGGAGAGTGTGTGTTGAGGGGGCGGAGAGTGTGTGTTGAGGGGGTGTTAGAGTGTGTGTTGAGGGGGCAGGAGAGTGTGTGTGTTGAGGGGAGGAGAGTGTGTAGGAGGTGTGTTAGAGGGGGTGTGTTGAGGGTGTGTGAGAGAGTGTGTGTTGCTGTGTGTGTTGAGGGGGTGTTAGAGTGCGTGTAGAGTGCGTGTCTAGGAGCTGGACTGAGCGGCGCCCCCAACCACTCACCTCAGCTTAATTAAATGATTCCTAGTTCAATTGGATAAGTACTCACTAGTCTAACCTAACCTAACCTAACCTAACCTAACCTAACCTAACTTAACCTAGCCCAACCTAACACCTCACATAACCTAACCTAACCTAACCTAACCTAACCTAACCTAACCTAACCTAACCTAACCTAATCTAACCCAACCTAACACCTCACATAACCTAACCTAAGCATTCATAGTTAAGTTAGGTTAGGTTAGGTCAGGTCAGAAGATATCAAGACAGGTGCCCACCCACATGACCTCTGACCCAACCAACCTATCGTTCACTACCTAAAACCTGTACGGTACTCCAAAGGTCCCGCTGACAGGTCGTTACAGGTAATGACACGAGTTCTAACAGGTGCAACGCCTTAATTACCGCACCCGCTGAGCTCTGTCCACCTGTTGTTGTTCTTAATGACTGCTGTGTAGTGGTTGGTTGGTTGTTAGTCCTCAGTGAGTCAGGTGAGTGTTGATGTAACCCTTTAAGGACGATAACTTAACCCTCCGTGGGCATAGGTTTGACCCTCTAGTCCTGAAAGTGTTAAAAGTGCACTAAAATAATCATCAACGTTTAATAATTGTGGACATGTCAGTCAGTCAGTCAATCAATCAATCAGTTGGTCAGTCAGTCAGTCAATCAGTGAGTCATTATCTTACGTCAGTAGACGAGATCTGGTGAAGTCATCATGGGCTGGGGGAGTGGGGGAGGGTTGGGCAGGTTGGGAGGTGGGCGGTTGGGCTGGGGAGCTGGGGAGGGTTGGGCTGGAGTGATGGGAGGAGGGGGGTGATGGGCGGAGGGCTGGGGTGAGGGGGGGGGCTGGAGGGTTAGGATGAGGGGAAGGACTGAAGGATTAGGATGAGGGGGCAGGATTACCAAGGGCCTCCCAGAAGTCACTAAACACCTACACTTCTTCCTCCTTCTGCCTCAGGGAACCATCAAGTTAAAAGAGGACTTCGACCCCGAGAAACCCTGCGTCAGGTTCCGGAAGGCCATGAAGGGGATGGGAACCGATACCAATGTGATTATCAAGATGTTGGTCACCCATCAGAACATCCAACGGCAGGAGTACATAGAGAAATATAAGGCCATGTACGGACGGGTGAGTGTACTGTACGTGTTGGTGTTGTGTGGGGAGGGAGGGAGGGAGGGAGGGATCAAGGACGGGTACCTCCTCCACCTCACCATGCACGGAAACGGACCATGTGAGAGAGAGAGAGAGAGAGAGAGAGAGAGAGAGAGAGAGAGAGAGAGAGAGAGCCTGCATGTTTCCCCCACTCACAAAACCCCAAAACAACAACAAACATATAAAAAGTAAACAAACTTCGTCACTAACATACTGAAGGTGGCGGCGACGGCGAGTTAATCCTCTGGTCTTCAATACGACAGGACCTGAAGGAAGATCTGAAGGAGGAACTAGGAGGGACGTTTGAGGAGGCGGTGCTGGCGCTACTGGAGGGGCCTTATGACCTACTGGTGGAGGCCCTCAACGAAGCCCTTACGGTGAGTGCTGGTTAATATCTACATTTGTCTTCTACCATCTACACTCTCGTCTACCACTACCTACCACAACCACTACCTACCACCACCACAACCACTACCTACCACCACTATTGCCATCACTACCTACCACCACCACAACCAATACCTACCACCATCATCATTACCTACCACCATTATCACCATCTATACCTGCCTACCACAATCTACACTTAGCCACTACCCAATTTTTTTTAAGTTACTGTACTCAAGGGTTACAGCTATCTAACACCTGTGACCTAACACCTGTCTCCTAACACCTGTGACCTAACACCTGTCTAACACTTGTCTCCTAACACCTGTCACCTTACACCTGTGATCTAACACTTGTCTCCTAACACCTGTCTCCTAACACCTGTGATCTAACACCCGTCTCCTAACACCTGTCTAACCTTCCTCCAGAGCATCGGCACCGATGAGAAGACACTGATTGACATCCTCGCCTGTCGCTCACCTGACGAGATCGAGGGGCTGAAAAACCACTATCAACGGAGTGAGTAAAGTGTGTGTGTGAGAGAGAGAGAGAGAGAGAGAGAGAGAGAGAGAGAGGCTGAAAACCACTATTAACGGAGAGAGAGAGAGAGAGAGAGAGAGAGAGAGAGAGAGAGAGAGAGAGAGAGTTAACACACAGTAAACCATAAGCACCTCAGGAACACCTTTTCCTTCCCTACCTCCCCTTCTGTGTCTCCTTCAGAGTATGGCATTTCCTTGGACGAACATCTGGTCTCGGAACTGTCAGGAGACTTTAAGAATTTGATGTGTGCACTGGTGGCCGCCGGGAGGGACGAGAACCAGACCGTTGACACCCCCAGCGCTATCAGTGACGCCCAGGTAGGTCTTCTGGGTCTTCTTTCTGGTGACAAAAAAAGAATGAAAATTAAAGAAAAATAAGAAAAAAATAAGAAAAAAAAACCACCAGTGAATTCTTAAACTGTGTCAATTTTCCATTTTTGTTTTATTTTTTTATTTTAATTTTTGTCACTCAAGATCATCAGAAATCGAAGTAAATCCACCATAACGAATACACTTAACCACCACCACTTCTTCTTCTTCTTCTTCTTCTCCTCTTCTTCTCATCTCTTCTCCTTGTTCCCTCTAACACCATACTTCACCACAGTTACTCTACGACGCTGGGGTAGGCATGAACAGTGAAACAGACGAAGAGGAATTTATCAGAATTCTCAACACCCGGAGCTTCCCACAACTCAAGGAGGTATTCAACCAATATGAGACACTGGCTGCAGCTCCCATCGAAGACGCATTAGGGGAGGAATTCAGCGGTGACATGAAGAACGGCTTACTGGCTATTGGTGAGTTCTTGTTTATGATTTGGCCTGAGGCTTATTCTACTGCAGCAGGTGAGGCTATCATACTATACTACTGTAGGAGGTGAGGCTATGAGGCTGTATTACTGCAGCAAGTGAGGCTATCATACTATACTACTGTAGGAGGTGAGGCTTATACTACTGTAGGAGGCGAGGCTTATTCTACTGCAGCAGGTGAGACTATCATACTATACTACTGTAGGAGGTGAGGCTTATACTACTGTAGGAGGTGAGGCTTATTCTACTGCAGCAGGTGAGACTATCATACTATACTACTGTAGGAGGTGAAGCTATGAGGCTGTATTACTGCAGCAGGTGAGGCTATCATACTATACTACTGTAGGAGGTGAGGCTTATACTACTGTAGAAGGTGAGGCTATGAGGCTATACTATTGTAGGATTTTATGATGTGTTGACCTGAGGTTGACAACTACTGTCCAAATAACATCCCACGTGTCCCAATAACATCCCACGTGTCCCAATTACATCTCACGTGTCCCAATAACATCCCACGTGTCCCAATAACATCCCACGAGTCCCAATTACATCTCACGTGTCCCAATTACATCCCACGTGTCCCAATTATATCCCACCGTGACCCAATTATATCCCACGTGTCCCAATAACATCCCATCGTGTCCCAATTTATATCCCACGTGTCCCAATAACATCCACCGTGACCCAATTATATCCCCGTCCCAATAACATCCACCGTGTCCCAATTATATCCCACGTGTCCCAATAACATCCACCGTGTCCCAATTATATCCACGTCCCAATATCCACGTGTCCCAATTATATCCACGTGTCCCAATAACATCCACCGTGTCCCAATATCCCGCGTCCCAATAACATCCCACGTGTCCCAACAGTTCAGCGGGTGAAGGATCCACTGGGGTTCTACGCTGAGGCTGAACCAGACAATAGTGGGCGCTGGGACGGATGACAAGTCCCTCATAAGGATACTAGTCTCTCGATCTGAGGTAGGGGGGTAGGGGGATGAGGGGGATGGGGAGGGGAGGGGAGGGAGGGGGGTGAGAGGGTGAAGGGGAGGATGTTGGTGCGGAGGAGGGAGGAGGGTGAGGGGTGAGGGAAGAGAGTGAGGGGGAGGAGGGTGTTAGTGCTAGGTGGCTAATCAAAAAAAAAAAATCCTATTCTTCCTTCTTCCTCTTCTTCCCCCACCTCCTCCCCTTTCTTCCTCCTTCTCTCTTCTTCCTCCCCATACCCATCTCTCCTCCTATATCGCTCTCCCCATGTCCTCACTTTATCTCCCCATGCCTCGTCTCACCTTGTCTCCCCATGTCTCCTTGTCTCCCATGTCCTCCTCATGTCTCCCCATGTCCTCACCCTTGTTCCCATGTCCTCCTTGTCCCCTGTCTCCATGTCCTCCTTGTCTCCCCCATGCCCTCACCTTGTCTCCCCATGTCCTCACCTTGTCTCCCCATGTCTTCTCCATCTCACCTTGTCTCCCCATGTCTCCCACTTCCTCCTCCATCTCCCCATGTCCCTCCCCTCGTCTCCCCATGTCCCACCTTGTCTCCCCATGTCCTCACCTTGTCTCCCCATGTCCTCCCCTCGTCTCCCATGTCCTCACCTCTGTCTCTCCTCCTTGTCTCCCCATGTCCTCACGTCTCCCATGTCCTCTCTCCCCATGTCCTCTCCTCCTTGTCTCCCCATCGTCTCCCCACCCGTCTCCCCATGTCCTCCACCTCAATCTCCCCATGTCTCTGTCTCCATGTCCCCACCTCGTCTCCCCATGTCCTTGTCTCCCCATGTCCTCCTCCCCACTGTCCCCCACATGTCTCTCTCCCATGTCTTCACCTTGTCCCCATGTCCTCCACCTTGTCTCCCCATGTCCTCACTCTCCCCTGACCTTGTCTCCCATGTCCTCCTTGTCTCCCATGTCCTCTCATGCCCCCATGTCTCATGTCCTCACCCGTCTCCCATCCCCACCTTGTCTCATGTCCCCACTGTCTCCCATGTCCACCTCGTCTCCCATGTCCTCACCCTCATCTCACCCTCGTCGTCCCCATGTCCTCACCTCGTCTCCCCATGTCCTTCTCCCCATGTCCTCACCTCGTCTCCCCATGTCCTCACCTCGTCTCCCCATGTCCTCACCTCGTCTCCCCATGTCCTCACCTCGTCTCCCCATGTCCTCACCTCGTCTCCCCATGTCCTCACCTCGTCTCCCCATGTCTGTGTCTCCCCATGTCCTCACCTCGTCTCCCCATGTCCTCACCTCGTCTCCCCATGTCCTCACCTCGTCTCCCCATGTCCTCACCTTGTCTCCCCATGTCCTCACCTCGTCTCCCCATGTCCTCACCTTGTCTCCCCATGTCCTCACCTTGTCTCCCCATGTCCTCCCACAGATCGACCTGGCAGACATACAGACCCGGTACAAGGACATGTATGACAAGGACCTCTGGGTCGATGTGAAGGATGACACCCAAGGAGACTACCAGAAGCTCCTCCTGGCCATCATGGGTCACTAACTCCCTCAATGCCTCTGATTAACGGACTGTATGGAGATGAGAGTCCGCTATATGGAGGTTTCACTGTAACAGCTTCTTGGACCTCTAACTACAGCTATTACTGGTGGTGGTGGTGGTAGTTAGGGTAGTTATTGGTACTAACTGGTGGTCGTAGTTAGGGTAGTTACTGGTTCTAAATGATGGTGATGGTGGTAGTGGTGGTAGTTAGGGTAGTTACTGGTTCTAACTGGTGGTGGTGGTAGTTAGGGTAGTTATTGGTTCTAACTGATAGTGGTGGCAGTTAGGGTAGTTACTGGTTCTAACTGCTGGTGGTGATAATTAGGGTAGTTACTGGATCTTACTGGTTGCGGTGGTGGTAGTTAGGGTAGTTATTGGTTGTAACTGGTGGTGGTGGTAGGGTGGTGGTAGTTAGGGTAGTTAGGGTAGTTACTGGCGATGGTTAGGATAGTTATTGGCTCTAACTACTACTGGTGCTAGTTAGGGTGCTACAAGTTTGACAGCTAGCCAGTAGTTAGACATTGATGGCTTAACTGTTGATAGTTAGGTGGTGGTTGTCTAACTGCAGTCGTCTGGAATTACCTCCACAAATACTTATAACCAAGCACTGTTAAGAGCATTATATAAATGCTAGTTACAGTCCTCTAACTAGCAGTACTAGATAGTTAGGTAAACACTAATATAACAACACGCATAATAAATTTTGGCGCCAACAGATAAGACTCAATTTTGGCGCCAACTAGAATGGCTTTTAGTGTAAACAACAAATAACTTTGGTAAACACAGGCTCTCACTCTCGTTACTACTCGCCAAAGAACCCAGACTAGAACACATCCTCCAGAATCCTCACAGAAGGTGGACACACAGTCAAGTTGTGTACGGCTATAAGGAGCTAAACAAGTCATAGGTAACCTTATCTTTCCATTATATATTAACAGCAGTGTAGTGTGGTATAGGCGTGGCATCTTTATATGACTTAAACAAAATATGATACCACCTGAAGATTACACACCTTAGTATATTTTCACCTAATGGAAAGCGACCGTGATGCTAAACTAACCTAACCTAACCCCACCAGGTAAAGTTAGGGTGGTTAATCCTCATGTGATCTCTTAAAATGCTTTGTTTGTGGTGTGTTTGGTGTTGATTGGATGATGACATGGCTTCACCACAGTCAGGCTAAGTACACGCACTTCTTAAGGAATGAATTCATGGTAGAAGAATGTTAAGGTGATAGAAATGTTGTGAAAGAAGGTGAATGTTCCTCAAATGTCAGTAAACACAAACACCAAGGGTCTCTGTCAACACAAACACCAAGGGTCTCTGTCAACACAAACACCAAGGGTCTCTGTCAACACAAACATCGAGGGTCTCTGTCAACACAAACACCAAGGGACTCCTGTCAACACAAACACCAAGGGACTCTGTCAACACAAACACCAAGGGTCTCTGTCAACACAAACAATGGGCGGGTCTCTACACAACACAAACACCAAGGACTCTGTCAATAAACACTAAGGGTCTCTGTCAACACAAACACCAAGGCCCCTTGTCAACACAAACACCAAGGGTCTTGTCAACACAAACACCAAGGACTCTGTCAACACAAACACCAAGGGTCTCTCTGTCAACACAAAACACCAAGCGCGGTCTCTGTCAACACAAACACCAAGGACTCCCTGTCAACACAAACACCATGCCCTGTCAACACAAACACCATGCCAGGGTCTCTCTGTCAACACAAACACTCAAGGGTCTCTGTCAACACAAACACTAAGGGTCTCTGTCAACACAAACACCAAGGGTCTCTGTCAACACAAACATCAAGGGTCTCTGTCAACACAAACATCAAGGGTCTCTGTCAACACAAACACTTCATGGGTCTCTGTCATTAAACACCAAGGGTCTCTGTGGTCAACACAAACACCTCATGGCCCTGTCATCACAAAACACCAAGTGTCTTGTCAACACAAACACCAAGGGTCTTCTGTCAACACAAACACCAAGGTCTCTGTCAACACAAACACTAAGGGTCTTGTCAACAATAAACACCAAGGGTCTTGTCAACACAACACCAAGGGTCTCTTGTCACAAACACCAAGGGTCTCCTGTCAACACAAACACTAAGGTCTCTGTCACACAAACACCAAGGGTCTCTGTCAACACAAACACTAAGGGTCTCTGTCAACACAAACACCAAGGGTCTCTGTCAACACAAACACTAAGGGTCTTGTCAACACAAACACCAAGGGTCTCTGTCAACACAACACCAAGGGTCTCCTGTCACAAACACCATGGGTCTCTGTCAACACAAACACTAAGGTCTCTGTCAACACAACACCAAGGGTCTCTGTCAACACAAACACCAAGGGTCTCTTGTCAACACAAACACTAAGGCCTCTAAGGTCAACACAAACACCAAGGGGGTCTCTGTCAACACAGCACCAAGGGTCTCTGTCAACACAAACACCAAGGGTCTCTGTCAACACAAACACCAAGGGTCTCTGTCAACACAAACACCAAGGGTCTCTGTCAACACAAACACCAAGGGTCTCTGTCAACACAAACACCAAGGGTCTCTGTCAACACAACACCAAGGGTCTCTGTCAACACAAACACCAAGGGTCTTGTCAACACAAACACCAAGGGTCTCTGTCAACACAAACACTAAGGGTCTCTGTCAACACAAACACCAAGGGTCTCTGTCAACACAAACACTAAGGTCTTGTCAACACAAACACCAAGGGTCTCTGTCAACACAAACACTAAGGGTCTGTCAACATTAAACACTAAGGGTCTCTGTCAACACAAACACCAAAGGGACTCTGTCAACACAAACACCAAGGGTCTCTGTCAACAAACACCAAGGTCTCTCTTGTCAACACAAACACTATAATCTCTTGTCAACACAAACACTAAGGGTCTCTGTCAACACAAACACTAAGGACTTGTCAACACAAACACCAAGGGTCTCTGTCAACACAAACACCAAGGGTCTCTGTCAACACAAAACACCAAGGGTCTCTGTCAACACAAACACTAAGGGTCTCTAATAACACAACACCAAGGGTCTCTGTCAACACAAACACTAAGGGTCTTGTCAACATTAAAACACTAAGGGTCTCTGTCAACACAAACATCAAGGACTCTGTCAACACAAACAATTAAGGACTCTGTCAACACAAACACCAAGGGTCTTGTCAACACAAACATCATGGTCTCTATTAACATAAACACTAAGGGTCTTGTCAACACAAACACCAAGGGTCTCTGTCACAAACACCAAGGGTCTCTGTCAACACAAACATCAAGGATTCCCTGTCAACACAAACACCATGGTTCTGTCAACACAAACACCAAGGGTCTCTTGTCAACACAAACACTAAGGGTCTCTGTCAACACAAAACACCAAGGGTCTCTGTCAACACAAACATCAAGGGGCCCCTGTCAACACAACACTAAGGGTCTCTGTCAACACAAACACCAAGGGTCTCTGTCAACACAAACACCAAGGGTCTCTGTCAACACAAACACCAAGGGTTCTGTCAACACAAACACCAAGGGTCTCTGTCAACACAAACATCAAGGGTCTCTTGCTCAACACAAACACTAAGGTCTCTGTCAACACAAACACCAAGGGTCTCTTGGTCAACACACAAACACCAAGGGTCTCTGTCAACACAAACACTAAGGGTCTTGTCAACACAAATACCAAGGGTCTTGTCAACACAAACACTAAGGGACTCTGTCAACACAAACACTAAGGGTCTCTTGTCAACACAAACACTAAGGGTCTCTTGTCAACATTAAAATCACCAAGGGTCTCTACTAACACAAAACACTAAGGGTTTGTCAACACAAACACCAACCCTGGAAAAACCGAATAGGATTTCAGAAAGAACCAAACCCATTTAATCTCTCATATTATTCAGTCCAGGTGTTTAGAACCACTGTGTGTGTGTGTGTGTGTGTGTGTGTGTGTGTGTGTGTGTGTCTGTCTGTCTGTCTGTGTGTGTGTGTGTGTGTGTGTGTGTGTGTGTGTGTGTCTGTGTGTGTCTATTAACCACTAAAGTGCCTTGTTATAGTAAAATGCAACACATTATTTTAAACCCCTCCCAAACTCACCCATCCACAAGATGTCTAATATATATAAACTAAACAATAAATAAATTAGTTGTTTGTCTGTTTGTGTGTTACTCCTCCATCTTGTTTGTTTATTTACGTGTGTCCAACATTAACTCATAAACTGGTGAATGTTTGTTTTAGTCAACATTATCTCTACAGTGATTAACAATGTTTTTTTTTCTTGGGGTCAATACTGTAAACACTAAACATTCTTATTGTTTTTCGTAAATCAACACTTATTATCATATTACATCGTGGTAAAGTTTCATTATAGTGGCCCGGGTTCATTATAGTGGCCCGGGGTTCATTATAGTGGCCGGGGTCCATATAGTGGTCCGGGGTTCATTACAGTGGCCTCGGGTTCATTATAGTGGCCTGTCTATAAGGGCTGGGGTTCATATATAGTGGCCTGGGGTCATTACAGTGGCCTTGGGGTTTATTATAGTGGCCTGTCTATTATAGTGGCCTGGGGTTCATTACAGTGCCCGGGGTTCATTATAGTGGCCTGGGGTTCATTATAGTGGCCTGGGGTTCATTATAGTGGCCCTGGGGTTCACTATAGCGACTCAGGGTTCATTATAGTGGCCCGGTCACTATAGCGACTCGGGGTTCATTATAGTGGTCCGAGGTTCATTATAGGGGCCCGGGGTTCATTATACCGACTCGGGGTTCATTATAGCGACTCGGGGTTCATTATAGTGGCCCCGGGTTCACTATAGTGGCCCGGAGTTCAGATTCACAAAGGTTCAGAGGACGAAATATTGCTGTTAAGAATGACTGTACAGTATCCTCAACTGATCGACTCGAATTTAAAATACCAATAAAAACAGAATTACGCCGATTTTTTTTTATGTAGATACGTTCATTTAGCATCAGTTTGGAGCCAATGAGAAGCCAGAACAGTAATAAGGAATGTTTCAAAATGTGTTGTGATTGGGTGGAGGTGTCAGCGATGTGAGGGACGATGTGTTGTGTTTGATGTTGTTTTAGTTAAGTGAAGAGAACACTTTACAGGAAGTATAAACCTTGAGACAACAGGGATTTGAGGAGACAGAAGGAGAGAGAACGAGAGAGAGATAAGATACTCAGTAAGGTGTATGATAATGTCTAAGATAAGGTTTGTGGTGGTAGTGGTAAGGCGGCAGCGGCCTCACACCACTCCTGCACCGTACTTCGAACCTACCTGCCCCTAGCACCTGTACCTTGCCCTCACCAGGTAAGTCTCTCTCCTCCTCCCCCTCGTGAGCCCAGTACAGTATAAGTCATTCCTCACTACATCTCCCCCGACGCTGGCCCTCCACACCTCACCATGACCACACACACCCTTGACAATGTTCGTCTTAGATTTGAGGAACTTTATAGAAGGTTTAATCCTGCAGTGATACCTTAAGACCCTGTGTTTATACTCTTATAAAGAGTGACATGAGTACAGGAGTGTCGTGTGAGGCTGGCAGGGGGAGGCGATGGTGGAGGAGGCACCACCACCAGGAGTTACTATACACCTGTACGTACCTGACTACTCTGCTGGGCGTCTCCCTAATTTACCAACAACGTCCTCTCCCTCCCGCAATCAGTGACAAGTGTGGCCGTGACAAGACTGGAGTGAGTAACAAAGAGTGAGTTGTGTTGTAACAAGAGAGGTGATGGTAACACACACTAATAATAATAATCATAATGGTTACCCTCGTGTCCTAGGATGGTCGGCCCTAGGGTCACCTAGGAGTGAATATGCTTAACTTAAGGTGTACAAGCTGTCGCCAACACAACAACCACAACCTATGTTAACGAGCTGTGACCCAGTGTCAAGGAATAGTCCGAGAAGACCGGACAACTCGCCAACTGCACTGGCTAACTATAACCCCGGAACACGATCCCTAAATCGATTAACATCCAAGTTCCCAATTACTGCTGGGTAAACAGAGGCAAATGGCGTGAAGAAACTTGCCCATTGTTTCACCCTGCCCGGGGATCGAACCCGGGTCCGCTCGCTTGCGAGGCGAGCATGATGACCATTATCTACACATGTACAGTCACCCAAAAAAAGTCGTGTCGCTAACCATGAACCCCGAGATTCAGACTCTTGAATCTTAACCATTTATGGACAGAATAATGTATCAGTGTCTACTGCTTCAAGTTCACGAGTCTGAATAGTGGTTCGCGACAGGACTTGGACTGTACACCCAACACACACATACACACCCCAAACACAAACTCTCCATGCTCATACAAACACCCACACATTTACAAACACTCCCCCAGATACACAAACACTGTCCTCCCTCCATAAAACACACACCTCCCCCAAACAAACCCCCCTTCCATCCCCCCACACACAAACACCCTCAGCCAACCCCCCCCTCACAGTTCCTTAAAGCACCATGACTGGGGATAAAATGTCAATACTGTAAAATAAAAAAACAGTGTCGGTGATAAGAGTTACTTGTGGTTGATGAGACGATAACAGCTCTTGTATCTCCCTGGGTCTTATCTTAACAAGGGTAGATAAGGTGACTCTCTCTATCTACCTACTACCACCATCTACCACCATCATCTACCACCATCATCACCACCATCTGTACTATCAACCATCATCCTCCACCATCACCATCCTCCACCACCACCACACCATCCTCCACCACCATACCCACCACCATCCCATCCCCCACCACCATCACCATCCTCCACCATCACCATCCTCCACCACCATCACCATCCTCCACCACCACCATCACCATCCCCCCATCACCATCCTCCACCACCATCACCATCCTCCACCACCACCATCACCATCCCCCACCATCGCCATCCCCCCACCATCACCATCCTCCACCACCATCACCATCCCCCCATCCCATCCCCCATCACCATCCCCACCATCACCATCCTCCCACCATCACCATCCTCCCCACACCATCCCCCATCCTCCACCCATCACCATCCTCCACCACCACCACCATCTCCCCACCATCACCATCCCCCACCATCACCATCCTCCACCACCACCACCATCCACCACCACCATCACCATCCTCACCATCACCATCCCCACCATCACCATCCTCCCACCATCACCATCTCCACCTCCACCATCCATCCCCACCATCATCCCCCCATCACCATCCTCCACCACCATCCCATCCTCCACCACCACCATCACCATCCCCATCCTCCACCACACCATCCTCCACCACCTACAACCCCATCACTATCCCCCACCATCACCATCCTCCACCACCATCACCATCCTCCACCATTCCCTCCATCCATCACCATCCTCCACCACCATCACCATCCTCCACCTCCACCATCACCATCCTCCACCACAGCACTATCACAAGCAGGCATTATTTTAATTGGCCGAGAAAAATTATTAGCCTTGTTCTGATTGGTGGAGATAACTGGACCTTCTCTTGGAGTGGCTGAGTGAGTCATGACTGGAGCCAAAAATACCTTGAAATTTAACTGGGTAACACTTGAAGATTGACTGGGTGTGGTTGATTGGGTGTTACTGACTGGGTGTGGTTGATTGGGTGTGACTGACTGGGTGTGGTTGATTGAGTATATTGATTGACTGTGACTAGGTGTGGCTAACTGGGTGTATCTGACTGGGTGTATCTGACTGGATGTGACTGACTGGGTGTATCTAACTGGATGTGACCGACTGGGTGTAACTGACTGGGTGTAACTGACTGCGTGTAACTAACTGGGTGTAACAGACTGGGTGTGACTGACTGGGTGTAACAGACTGGGTGTGATTGACTGGGTGTAACAGACTGGGTGTGACTGACTGGGTTACAGGATACCAGTCTACCTATGGGTTATACTCTATACTATCGACAAACACCTGAAGATTAGTCCCCCCAGCTTACTGCACCCAGGACCATTACCTTGCGAGAGGACCGACCTACCACAACTGACCTGAACCACAGGACCATTACCTTACGAGAGACCGACCTACCACAACTGACCACAAACCTGAGACCATTACCTTACAGAGGACCGACCTACCACAACTGACCACAAACCTGGGACCATTACCTTACAAGGGACCGACCTACCACAACTGACCACAAACCTGAGACCATTACCTTGCGAGAGGACCGACCTACCACAACTGACCACAAACCTGAGACCATTACCTTACGAGAGGACCGACCTACCACAACTGACCACAAACCTGAGACCATTACCTTACGAGGGAGACCGACCTACACAACTGACCACAAACCTGAGACCATTACCTTACGAGGAGATGACCTACAACTGACCCAAACCTGAGACCATTACCTTACGAGAGACCGACCTACCACAACTGACCACAAACCTGAGACCATTACCTTACGAGAGACCGACCTACCACAACTGACCACAAACCTGAGACATTACCTTACGAGAGGACCGACCTACCACTGACCAAACCTGAGGACCATTACCTTACGAGGAGACCGACCTACCACAACTGACCAAACACAGACCATTACCTTACAGAGAGGACCGACCTACCACAACTGACCACAAACCTGAGACCATTACCTTACGAGGAGACCGACCTACCACAACTGACCACAAACCTGAGACCATTACCTTACAGGAGCCGACCTAACCACAACTGACCACAAACCTGAGACCATGCCCTGAGGAGACCGACCTACCACAACAGACCACAAACCTGAGACCATTACCTTACGAGAGACCGACCTCCACAACTGACCACAAACCTGAGACCATTACCTTACGAGGAGACCGACCTACCACAACTGACCACAACTGAGACCATTACCTTACAGAGGGACCGACCTACCACAACTGACCACAAACCTGAGACCATTACCTTACAGAGGAGACCGACCTACCACAACTGACCACAAACCTGAGACCATTACCTTACGAGACCGACCTACCACAACTGACCACAAACCTGAGACATTACCTTACGAGGAAACCGACCTACCACAACTGACCACAAACCTGAGACCATTACCTTACGAGGAAACCGACCTACAACTGACCACAACCTGAGCCATTACCTGAGCCGACCTACAACTGACCACAAACCTGAGACCATTACCTTGAGAGGATAGACCTAAGGGATACAATGTAACCAAATTATGTCATCTTATGCTCTACTGATGCAAACAAATAAATAATAATAATACATGAGAAGAAATAGAACATGTGGTAATAAATGAAGAAAAGGGAGAGGGAAGAGAGGGAGGAGAGGGAGATATATGAGAGAGGAAATAGAACACATGGTAATAGGAGAGAAGGAGAGGAAGAGAGGATAGAGGAGATATATGAGAGAGGAAATAGAACACATGGTAATAAATGAGAGGAGGAGGGAAGAGAGGAGGAGGTGGAGGTTTTAATAATGTACACTGAACCAACCAAACCAACCAATCAACCAACCACCATTCAACCAACCACCATTCAACCAACCACCATTCGACCAACCACCATTCGACCAACCACCATTCGTCTTATATGAGCTGTAGTCGTTGCTAAGGATGCTAAAACTCTATCACCACCATCACCACTACCACAATCACCACCACCACAATCACCACCACCACAATCACCACCACCACAATCACCACTACCACAATCACCACCACCACAATCACCACCACCACAATCACCACCACCACAATCACCACCACCACAATCACCACCACCACAATCACCACCACCACCACAATCACCACTACCACAATCACCACCAATCTACATAATCTAATCTCCGACCAACAGTAGTGGCTGGTGATGTGAGGGCCACTAACCTAACCTAACCAAACCTAACCTAACCTAACCTAACCTAACCTAACCTAACCTAACCAAACCTAACCAAACCTAACGTAATCTAAACTAGTAGTCGGGACTCGGTAGTGGTAGACGACTCATGGCCCACGCTGGCAGGTAGTTGTTCGGTATATTATCATCGGTATAACAGGTAGGAAAGGTAGTCACAGGGATGATTAGTAGAGGTGATTGAACCACCATACTACTTACCACCATGACTACCCATGACTACCTACCACCACCACCACCACCACCACTACTACCCACCACCACACACCACCATCCACCACCACCACCACCACCACTACTACCTACCACCACCCCCACTACTACCTACCACTACTACCTACCACCCACCACCACTACTACCACTACCCACCACCACCACTACTACCTACCACCACCACCACTACTACCTACCACCACCACCACCACCTACCACCACCACCACTACTACCACCACACCTACCACCACTACCTACACACTACCTACCCACCACCACCACTACCCCCACTACACCACCACCACACTACCACCACCTACCCACCACCACCACCACTACCCCACCACCACCACCACTACCTACCACCACTACTACCTACCACCACCCCACCACTACCTCCACCACCCACTACTACCTACCACCCACCCACTACCACCACTACTACCTACCACCACCACCACCACTACCTACCACCACCACCACTACCCACCACCACTACACACTACTACCACCACTACTACCTACCACCACCACCACCACTACCCACCCACCACTACTACCCCACCACCACTACTACCTACC